TCCTTCCTTCCTTCCTTCCTTCCTTCCTTCCTTCCTTCCTTCCTTCCATCCATCCATCCATCTATCTGAGACAGGGATTCTCTTTATAGCCCTGGCTTTCCTGGAACTAACTTTGTAGACCAGGCTGGCCTTGAACTCAAGAGACCCGCCTGCCTCTGCTTCTCCAGTGCTGGGATTAAAGGTATACACCATGCCCAGCTCCAGCCCCAAATTTATATAGTTAAGGCATTGCCACCTACTTCGTGGCATCTAACCACTGTTTTTAAAACTCTACCTAGCAAGGTATTGAAGGAGATACTGAGACTCATAGCCACACTTTTTGGGCAGAGTGCAGGGAATTTTATGAAAATAGGGGGAGATAGAAAGATCTGGAGGGGACAGGAGCTCCACAATGAGAGCAACCAAGAAATCTGGGCCCAGAGGTCTTTTCTGAGACTGATACTCTAACCAAGGACCATTCATGGAGATAACCTAGAACCCCTGCACAGATGTTGCCCATGATAACCAAGTGGGTTACCTAGTAAGGGAAATAGGGACTGTCTCTGACATGAACTCAGTGGCCTGCTCTTTGAACACCTCCCCCTGATGGTGGAGCAGCCTTACCAGGCCACAGAGGAAGACAATGCAGCCAGTCCTGATGAGACCTGATATTCTAGGGTCAGAAGGAAGGGGAGGAGGACCTCCCCTATCATTGGACTCGGGGAGGGTTATAGGAGGAGATGAGGAAGGGTGGATGGGATTGGGAAGGAATGAGGGAGGGGCTACAGTTGGGATACAAAGTGAATAAACTGTCATTTATAAAAAAAAATAAACAAATTTCAAAAATAAAAATAAAAAGGGAAAGTCATGGTTCAGTATGGTAAGGAATCTGTTTTCATCCTATACACCTGTTAGAATTGTTTGTTTTCTGTCTGCAAGACAGTTTGCTGGCCAGACTGGACTCAACAATGGTATTCCACCTCAGCCCCCGTGGAGCTGGAACTATCAGGGGTTATTGATATATTATGCTATACTATTACAGAAAATTAAAATAAAAAAAAAACAAAAAAAAACAAAAACCGAAAAAAACCTCAAGACAGAGTTTGTCTGTATAGTAGCTCTTACTGTTCTAGAATTCACTCTGTAGACCAGGCTGTCCTTGAACTCAAGAGATCTATCTGCCTCTGCCTCAGAGTTCAGAGTTTAAAGGCATGGGTTACCACACCCAGCTAAATTTTTAAATATTTTTATGTTTTGGGTTTTTTAAATTTTATTTTAGATTTTTTTTTTTTTAATTGTGAGGAATGTTTGCTTCTTAAATTTTTAGCCATGCAGGAAGCATCTGACTTACTGCAGTTGTGGAGTTGGAGGTATTAATGGCAAGATCCACAAAGGGCAGGGGACTAATGTGATGTGTGGGTTTGACTGGTAGAAGGTGTTGGCTATAGAGCTGGGTGTGTTCCTGGTAAAGTCTTCTGCCTAGTGCTACTGGGTCTCCAGCGTAGGTGTACTGTACTCGTTACTGATGTTTGAAATGGCACCATAGACCTGTCAGTACCTAAGTTGCCACTGTTGCCAGACCCTTGTGGTTTATACATGTGCTTCCCTTGATCCTTAGTGTTAACATTTCTGTACTAAGACCTTTTTTTAAGTTGTTACCACTTAAGGGGTTATTGAAAACCCATAATTTTAAAAGCCAAAATGATTTATAATACTAATTTCATAATTAGCTTTGTATTAAACAAGTGATGTTGGATAGTTGAAGTTAGAAGTTTTTTACAAAATTGACTAAGCATAGTATAGTGATGATCCCATATTTTGTTTTCTAAATACAACTCCATAATAAAAATTCTCTTAGCTGTTTTTTGGTTGACTATTCAAAACAATGAATGGTTGACTCAATGTTACATCAGACTTTTTAAAACGATATATTATTTTTAAGTATGTATAGATGTGTAGCTATATACATGTGATTGTGACTGCCCTTAGGGGCCAGAGGCATCCAGTCCTCCCTGGAGTTGAAATTACAGTCAGTTGTGAGCTACCTGATAAAAGTGCTGGGAATGAAACTCATGTCCTCTAAAAGAGCAGAACATGCACTTCACCACTAAGTCATCCTTTCACCCCTTGTTTTATGTTTTGAAACTGAGATGTCAGTTTCAGGTCTGGAACTGACAGTCTGCTGCCTTGCCCCCCCAAATGCTGGAACTACAGAACTGGGCCACCACATTATTTTGTTGTTTAGCTCCCTCTCCCACTGTCAAATATTAAGCTTCCTTTGAAATATCCTCTGAAGGCTCAGAGGCAGGGAACACCAGACCTCCAGAGACTCATCCTCCCATCAACTCATAGGGGAGTAGATAGAAATGGGAAATAGGAGAGAAGAGTATGCATACTTTTTGTAGTAATTTTCTAGCTCCACTCTGAAGCCTTCTTTGCTGCTTATGGTTTTTGTTTTAACTAGATACATGTTTTATACTGGCATCGGATTTTTGTGTTGTAAGGCTTTAAAGTCCTCAGACAACAAAAATGTATGTCAAAGTCCTTAGAAATATGATACTTTGAAATGATTTTGCATTTTTCGTGATTATCAAAAATTATCAGGGGCTAGAGAGATAGTTCAATGGTTAAGAGCACTGGCTGCTCTTGCAGAGGTGTCTTGGCTTTGATACCCAGCACCCACATGGTGGCTCACAGCCATCCTAACTCCAATTAACAGGATCCAGTGCCTTAAACTGGTTTTCTTGAGGTACATTCATGCATGTATGTATGTCATCCACATAATACAGTCTTTCTAAAAAAAATCAGTTACCAGACCAGAAGGAGTAGCACACATCTTTAGTCCCAGCACTGGGAGGCAGAGTTCCAGGACAGCAAGGGCTACACAGAGATAAAAGAAAAAGGAAGGGGAAAAAAAAATCTGTTTTGTTAAAAAGAGTATGAAGTTTGGGAGAAGCATCTGAAGGATATGGGGAAGGAATAGAGAATGAATAGGACCAAAATATACTATATGTATGTATGAAGTTCTCAAAGAAGTAATAAAAATATTAAATACAAATCTTCACATAAAAACATACAGGGAAATGGAACTCACAGAATAAAGTATAGCTGAAAAAGTCAAACGGTTACCTGGGCAATGGCAGCACATGCCTTTAAATCCCAGCACTTGGGAGGCAAAGGCACTTGGATGTCTAGAGTTCGAGGTCAGCCTGGTCTGCAGAGCAAATTCCAGGACAGCCAAGGCTACATAGTGAAACTGACTTGGGGGTGGGGGAGAAAAGAAAGTCAAATTGTTAGTACACAGATACTATATACATGAGTTGCTTGAGTGGAAGATCAGTGAGATGGAAGTGTAATTGAGAATTACAGTTTATCTCTTTGGGGAGTGCCTTTTTTGTTTTGTTTTGTTTTGTTTTTTGTCATTGTTCAAGACAGGGTTTCTCTGTGTAACCTCTACTGTCCTGGACTCACTTTGTAGACCAGGCTGGCCTCGAATACAGAGAGATCTGCCTGCCTCTGCCTCCCTGAGTGCTGGGATTACAGGTTATCCGGGTAAATTTGTTTTGTTCTGTAATAAAGAGATGAGATGTTATCTTGATTTTAAAACTTTAAGTTTTTGTGTGGAGATTTATCTAAGAGTGTATTTAGCATAAATGTTTTGTTTTCAGATATTTAGTCTTGGATATTGCTGATAATCCAGTTGAAAACATAATACGTTTTTTCCCTATGGTAAGTATCAGTAATTTATCATTTGGACCTATTAATTTAGATTCTAAAACTACTTTTACTTCATTATGACTGAAAGAAAATTGTAGGTTTACTTTACAAGGAAAGTGAAGTAATTTAAAAGTTGTATCACTGAGGGTTTTTTCTTGTTGTTGATACTTAGTATGTATGATGCCTGAATGTATGTATATGTATCACGTGTACAAGAGCCCTTAGAAGACAGAAGAGAGTATTGGATCCCCTAGAGCTGGAGTTATGGATGGTTATGAGCCATCATATGGGTGCTAGAACCGATCCCTGGTCATCTGCATGGGCAATGGAGAGCAAGTGCATCTCTCCAGCACCCTCATTATTTGTTTGTTTGTTTGTTTGTTTTTTTGAGACAGGGTTTTTCTGTGTAGCCCTGGCTGTCCTAGATCTCATGCTGTAGATCAGGCTGGCCTTGAACTCAGAGATTCGCCTACTTCTGCCTCCCAAGTGCTGGGATTAAAGGCATGCACTACCTCCACCTGGCCCTTTTTTTTTTTTTTTTTTTTTTTAATAACTGTATTACACCTTTTGCATTTGTGCTTGTACATGCACACACACTTGTTTGTGTCATGGTGTGCGTATGAAGATCAGAGGATAGCTTATGGGAGTTTGTTCACTCTACTGAGTGTGTGGAACTCAGGTCTCCGGCTTAGTGGTAGGTGCCTTTACCCGCTGAGCCATCTTGCCAGCCTAAGAGTTGTATTTTTCAGAGATTAGCTGTTGCTCTGTAACTTAGACTGAATGTTTTCAACTCGGCCTCCTCCTGTTTTACTGTATTGTATGTTTATCTTTCTCTACATGTTTTACTGTAATACATTGTCTCTTGCCCTCAGACTAAAGAGTTTATTGATGGAAGCTTACAAAATGGAGGTAAATAATTTTTCTGTTATTTAAGATTTATGTTTTTGAGTATTTTGCTTACACGTCTGTATATGTTCTACGTGTGTGCCTGGTGCCTGCAGAGGTCAGAAGAAGTCAGTAGATCCTCTGGAACTGGAGTGCAGGCAGTTGTGAGCTGCTTTGTAGGTGCTGAGAATCAAACCTGGTCGTCAGTGAGAGCCACAAGTACTCTGAACCACTAAGCTCTCTCTTCAGGCATTAGTGTTTGTTTTATTTTTAGGAGATTATTTTGTTACAGTTATCTTTTAGTTGATCTTTTTCTAATTGTAGAATAGAGAAATTATTTGTTTATATGATAGACTGTTTTCAGTTTTATGTTTTCCCAACTACTTAATTTTATCGTCTTCTGCTTTCTAAATTTTTTCCATTGAACTACTTTCAGTTTCTCTTAAAATCTGTTGTATTCTCTACATAATTAAAATAAAGACTTGAAAGATAATAGCTAAGTGGCATGTACATAATATAAAATATGTAAGTAAGACTCACCATAGCCTGATAACATGGTTTAGTATAATTTACATCCAAACCCTTATTTTCTCAGAAAATTAACTAGTTTTTTTAAACTTTTTCAGGGAAAGTTCTTGTCCATGGGAATGCAGGTATCTCTAGAAGGTATGGAGATACATAATCTTTGTCTGTTGTGCTTAGTTCTGAGTTAGGTTTTCTAACTGTCTCTCTGTCTTCAGTGCTGCCTTTGTTATTGCGTACATCATGGAGACATTCGGCATGAAGTACAGGTGAGCTTATACACTAAAACCTAGCAGCAGTTCGCCCTCACTTAAATGGACTGAAGAGAAGGGGTTGGGAATTTAAGGCTTAATATTCCTTTTTAAAATAAAACATACATATATAGTCAATTGATTGGGCAAACCTAGAAAAATACTTGTCAGTAGGAATTGGTTAGTCTCAGGTTAAAAACTCTGTACACAAACATTGGCGCTTACTCCAGGTGATGTTTACTGTGTAGGGTGAATATGCCTATAATCAAAGCGCTCAGCAGATTAAAGGGGAATTACTGTAAATGCAAGCCAAAGTCTGGGCTGGACATTCAAGGCTGCAAATCAAGACCCTGTCTAAGAAAAGAAACTTATATAATTAGGAATTATCTGTAGCGCCTGTTTATAAATCAGGATGAGTCACAGTGCACAGATTTTTTTTAAAGGAGAAAAATACTTAGGATCTTCAAGACAAAAATCAAACTAGTATACAGTATTACCTTTCTTAGTCTTATGAAAGCTAGAAATCCTGTCCACACTAAGAACTCTGTATCACTTTCAAACAGAAGAGTTTAAAGTATTTATTGTTTATGGCTGGAGAAATGGCTAAGGACCCAGCGTCAGTACCCAGCATTACGTGGTCTCAGGGGATTCAACACTTTTCCCCTAGCCTACTGTAGGCACCACACACACACATATGGCACACACAAAGCTGTCATACACATTTTTTTAAAGTAGTTACCTGACAGATTCAGGCAGACTAGAGAGAGAACCTTGCTTTCTTTTACCCATTGACGACCCTAGGCTCCAATAGATAGTTCCAACACACCAAGTGGGTCTGTTATGTGACAAGACTTCTCATGTGGAGGTGCAGCACACATCTGCTCATCTCAGATATGTAGCCTACGACAGACCGAAGTGTGGATATCAGCACAGCCCAACTTGCTGAACCAATAAATTTTATTGGGGTTACTGACAGATATGGGTGAGGAGTTTCTTAGAGGAATAGAAATGACTCAAAGACAGTTGCATTACCAAAGCCCACCCTACTCTGAGGGACAGCTCATAAAAGCTGAGAACCAGGAACAAAAATTTCAGCCTGCAGGCAGCTCAACAGGTTGGAGAATGTACTTTCCGTCTGACTTAGTCCCTCAGTGTAAAGCTCTTTGAGGCAGCTTGGCTTGTCTGAGAGTTGACTCTCATCAGTCTTTACTCATTGGAGTGGGGGAGGGCTAATGACTCTGGTTAGTTTCAGGTTCTTCCTGAAGCTATTGAGTTGTTTGCTTTAGCTTCCCTGTGGGAAGGTGTTGCAGCCTTGGAGGGAGCTGCTACACGACAGGTTCACAACACCAAAAATGATTAATCCCTGAAAGGGACTGGTACTGAGGAGGCAAGGAATCTGGAGACCCAAATATTTGAACGCAAATACTTGAAAAATATTCTCTATTATTTGGAATCATCTCAGTAATATTCATAATCTCTGGTGCCATTGTACTTACTACTAGATATCATATGTAAGCCTTACAACACAAGGGAATTGACCTCTCATTTAATGTCTGACTATGTGACAGGTATGCGGCATGCACAAAGTGCTTTTACACTTGTCTCATCCTCACAGGAGTCCTCCAAAGTCAGCATTGTAACGCCTGTTTACCAGTGAGGGAAAGTTGAGGAAGTCCCTGTGACAGGTGGTGAGCGCAGGAACTGTGAATTTAGTTGGCCTCACCTTTCTCCACTACAACACACTGTCTTTACAGTGTTAAACTGTATGGCTATGATTTCCTATTTTGGCCAAAAAAAACCAAACAAACCAAAAAAAACAAAAATTTAGATGTTGCAGGGTTGTTTTGTTTTGTTTTGTTTTGTTTTTAGTGTATTAGGGTTTGAATCCAGGGCCTTGCATTAGTTAAGGAGCCTATGAAGCCCTATCTCCAACCTTAGGGGAAATTTCAAATATTCTTCTATTTTTATTTCTTTTTCTCGAGATAGGTTTTCTCTGTAATCTTGGCTGTCCTGAACTAACTTTGTAGACCAGGCTGGCCTCAAACTCAACAGCTCTCTGCCTGCCTCTGCCTCCCTGAGTGCTGGGATTAAAAGCATGTACCACCACACCTAACTTCAAATAAATTCTTTAATGGAGAAAAAATTTAGGTTATTTCATTAAATAGTTCTCTTATATTAATTTTTTCTCTTTCTGTTTTTAGAGATGCATTTGCTTATGTCCAAGAAAGGAGATTTTGTATTAATCCTAATGCTGGATTTGTCCACCAACTTCAGGTAAGGACCTCCTGTGTCAACTCTGTTTAAGGCAGAGTGTAGAGTGACTTAAAATGGCTTAGCTATATAGCTGACATGCAGAATTTACCTTTTGACGGCATATTTTAACACTCTTGGAGGCAGAGGCATTCAGATCTTTGTGAGTTCGAGGCTAGCCTGGTCTACAAAGTGAGATCCTAGACAGCCAGTGCTACATTCAGAGAAACCCTATCTCGAAAATAACAACAACAACAAATAACTTGTAAATGCTTGATATTATTATAATCTGACTAAACTGATGATTATTCCAGTTGGCATCTGTTTAAATGGTTTTTTATTTTTGTTTATTACGTAGCTCTGACTACGTAGATGTAGTCAAAATGTAGACCAGGCTGGGCTCAGCTCACAGAGATGTGTCTGCCTCCCAAGTGTTGGGATTAAAGGCATGCACCACCTCACATGGTCCATAAATGTTTTTTTTTTGTTTGTTTCTTAAACTGGCCCTGTTGGCTAATGCCTGTAATCCCAGCACTCAAGAGACTGAGGCAGGAGGATTGTTATGTATTCCAGGCCAGCCTGAGCTGCAGTTGCTGTTACCAAGAGATTGGGTCAAAGGTACATTACATTGATAAAGACAAGTTAGAGAGGCATGGGAGGTAGCTTAGTTGAGGTTCTTCTAGGAAAGAACCAACCTGACCTCTAACCTTTACAAACTGTCGTGGAAGGGGATATTAGACTCTAGTGGGCTCCTCTACCCCAGCTAGTTCCCAAACAATGGAGACAGACTTTTTAGATTTATAAAAGCTTCAAGCACAGTAACACAATCAACCCTCTAAGGTGTTTTGCTGTTTCCCAGCTACACACCTCAAGTTACTTGCCATAATTGTTCCTGCCTGGGCTGTTTCTCTCCATCAGGCCAGCTCTCATGGCCATGTGTTCATGGCCCACACTGCCTCTTCTGCTTCCTCTCCTCCTGACACGTTTTGCTTTCTTTCTCCCTCCTATTTTCCTTGGGGGTCACTCTCAGATCCCAAGCCCTGGAACCAAAGCTCCACCCTACCTCTCTTCTGCCCAGATATAGGATGTCAGCAAGCAAAAAAAATAGGGTGTCAAGTAATATAGGCGAGCAAAGTTTACATTACTTGATGTATGTGAGAATGTGCTTGTCAAGGCTGCAATCAGATATTGGGGGCCAATAATTTAGCATTTGAATGCGTAGCACCAGACCAATCCCTAGTAACAAACATGGCAAATATATTCCTTCCCCCAGTCAATCGATTTAAAAAAAAAAAAAAAAAAAAGGAAAGTAAAATGACATACAAGGTAGAAAATGTGATGATTTCCCTCTACCCCATAGTGACTGCATAGAATATGAGTGTTGAGTTCAAGTACAGGTTGAACATCCCCAGTGTTGAACTTTAAATGTTTCAGTTCCAAAACCTTTTGAGTACTTAGTTTTAGATTAGGGATTCTGAAGCAGTAAAGTCTTTTCGGGTATTCTAATGTCCAGAAAACTTTCAAAATCAAAGGAGAGGCCATGTGCTAAGTTATGTTAGCTTTTCTGTTCTGTTTGTCTTAGTTTTTCTTGTCTTAGGTCTTGATGAGGCTGGTGCATACACTCTAAGTTTCTTTGCTTTTTTTTTTTTTGTTGTTGTTGTTGTTGTTGTTGTTGTTGCCTTGCATGAAAACATTAATTTTGCCATATATTTTGTACTTTAAAAAGTAGGATATTGATTGATTAAATAAAACAATGAGCTGATAGTGAGACGAAGCTCTAGTATATAAGTGCAGGCTTGTTGAGGGCAGCGAGGGAAGGGGAGGGGGGGGGAGTGCACACTGCGGTGGGGAGGGCAGGGAGGGGGTGAAGAGGCTAAAGGGAGAAAGGGTAGAGAAGGGGCAAGATGTCTGGTTATGTAGTGAAAGGCCTCTGGGAGAGGAGCCCCACCCCTATGTGGAGGGCAGGATATGGCAGCCACACCCTGCAACAGTAGGGACTTTAACAGATTTAATATGATAAACAAAATAAAAATTTAACAGTGTCTAAGGTATAAAGTAAATCATCTTAATGTATCTTGAAAAATCAAGCTGTGGTGTCTTATGTTGTAACACAATTTGGGAAGCAGAGATAGGAAGGTCAGCCTGGTCTACATAGTAAATCCAGGCCATCCAGACCTGCGTAGCAAGACTGTCTACAAATATATATAATGTATAAATAATTACGTATAAAATTAAATATATGCTTAAATGGGTATATATTTAAAAGATAACATATCTTGAACTTTTTTTTTTTTTTTTTTAGTTTTTTCAAGACAGGGTTTCTCTGTGTAGCCTTGGCTATCCTGGACTCGCTTTGTAGACCAAGCTGACCTCGAACTCACAGAGATCCTCCTGCCTCTACCTCCCTAAGTGCTGGGATTACAGGCGTGCACTACTGCGCCAGTTTATTACTCTTCTTTTTATGTGTATGGGTTTTTTGTCTGTGTGAGTGTGTATATAACAGGTATGTGCCTGGTGCCCTTGGATTCCTTGGGACTGAGGTTACAGATGGCCATGAACCATCATGGTAGTGCTAAAAACTGAACCCTGGGTCCTCCAAAAGAGCAGGCAGTATGTCTAATCCCCGAGCCATCTCTCCAACACCCACAACTCATTACCCTTGTTACCCATCTCATTTGTGGTGATGCTGGTAGAAATGTGTGCCATAGTTGACACTCCAGTGGAGGAGTACTTTCTAAGGAGGTCTTCCTGGCTACTATCTTCATTGTATAGACAATAGAGAAAATTGAGAGTAACTGCCAGAAGCAAGTAGGCCAGTTTAAAAAGCTATGTTACCAGTCAAGAGAGACTACTGAGAGCTGGTAAGATGGTTTAGTGAACAAAGGCACATGCCACTTAACAGTAAAAGCCTAAGGGTATGATTCTGATCCCTGGCAGGGACTCCACACATCTGTACTCCGTCCTCTTCATACATGCTGTAGCAAGTGTGTCCCACGTGCACACACATATAAACAAAAGTAATAAAAAGATTGGTTTAAACAGAAGTGTTAGTGAGGAAGTGAAATCAGGTGCTGGGTTTATTTGGAAGTGTAGCTAGCCAACAGAATTTGATGCTGGATAGATACGGATTATGAAGGGGTGGAGATAAAGATGAACCTGTCTTTTGATTGAACAACGCTAAGGTGAGTTCTCACTGATAGAGAGGAAACTATAAGAAGGGATAGGTTGCAGAGTAAAGTGAAGAACTGTTTGTTTGGCTTGGTTTTCTGGCACAAAGCATGAAACTGAGAACCGTGCATATGCTGGGCAAGTGCTGCCCTCCTCTCCTAACCTGAGAATTTCATCCTGTCCAGCTTAAGAATGGAGAAGGAGATAGTTGTATGCATGTGTTCAAGAGACAGGACTCCTGTATATAAGGAGTGAACACTCTTAAGGGTGACAAAAATAGAAAAATGAGTGTGGATAAAGAATTAAGACTGAGAAAAACAGCTAGTGTTAGACTACTTTCTTATGTAGCTTGCCAGCATGGATAAGGCGTTCAGTGCAGATCCCAGGCAGGGGTAAAGCAGTAGTTGTATTTGCCGGTGTGCTGTTATACTCCTTTATCCCAGGAGGAAAGAGGGTCAGAAGGTCAAGGCCAGCCTTGGCTAATAGCACATTGGAAGCCAGCCCTGGTTCTTTGAGATTGTGCCTTTAAAACAAGGAAAAAACTTTTTTATCTTTTTTTCCTAAAGGCAGAACCCTACAGCACTCAGGCATGCAGAGGATGTGGAAATAAAACTAGCAAAGGAAGGGGGAGATAGAAAGACCTGGAGGGGACAGGAGCTCCACAAGCAACAGAACCAAGAAATCTGGGCACAGAGGTCTTTTCTGAGACTGATACTCCAACCAAGGACCATGCATGGAGATAACCTAGAACCCCTGCTCAGATGTAGCCCATGGCAGTTCAGTCTCTAAGTGGGTTCCCGAGTAATGGGAACAGGGACTGTCTCTGACATGAACTCCATGTCTGGCTCTTTGACCACTTCCTCCTGATGGTGGAGCAGCCTTACCAGGCCACAGAGGAGGACAGTGTAGCCACTCCTGATGAGACCTGATAGACAGAAGGAAGGAGAGGAGGACCTCCCCTATCAGTAGACTTGGGGAGGGTCATGGAAGGGAATGAAGGAGGGTACTACAGCTGGGATACAAAGTGAATAAACTGTAATTAATATAAAACCATTAAAATAAAAATAAAAAAAAATACTAGCAAAGGAGATGGTTAGTGGCATAGTAAGATCCTGGTAGTCTGGTTTTAGGGATGGTAGGTGAAGACTTTGCAAAAGGAAGGAATGACTCCCTATTTCAAAGGGTATTGAGGCCCTTTACAAATTTCTTGTGGGATGGAGAAAATAAGCATAATTCTACTTTGTTCAGGGAAAACTGGGAAAAGAGAATTTTGTTTTTATTTATTCTTAGAACCATTTAAGAAGATTGCAGGTTTATGTTTTGGGTCCTTCTACTCTTTGTGCCATTTTTATATATAGGATTAGACCATGAGAGCTAATACTCAGTAGAGGAAGAATCTTTGTGTCTGGCAGTGAGCTGTTGGTACAACTTGGTTTCTTAACCACTGAGCCATCTTCAGCACCCCCCCCCCACAACTTGGTTTCTAATTATCAATAACTGACAATAGTAGTAGAGAATAGTATAGTAGTGAGAAATTCATTCATCCACATTCATCCTATATATCTGAACTAATTAAAATACCTTTTTTTAGGAATATGAAGCCATCTACTTAGCAAAATTAACCATACAGATGATGTCACCACTCCAGATAGAAAGGTCCTTGTCTGTGCATTCTGGTACCACAGGTAAGGGTTTTTTGTTTGTTGGGTTGTTTTGTTTTTGTAGAAAATTGAAGAGAAAGGTAATGATGGGAAAAGTATAAAAGAAGCATTTAATTACACGTATTGAGCAAACTGTTTATAAACTGAGTAAACTAGTCTAAATAGTTTGAAAAGGATTAGTTGTTTAATGAATAAACAGTAAGTTTACCTCTGATGTGCAAATACTATAATATATAACCAATTGTAATAGTAAGTTGAAGATCATATATCTACTTGGTTTAATTTTAAGTGTGTTAAGTTGTATAACTATTGTAAAGATTAAAGTAAGACCAGTCTGGGTAACTTGGCTGATACTGAAAATGTGGTTGCTGGGTATGGTGGCACATGCTTATAATTCCAGCAGTGTGTGATGGAGTCAGGACTATCATAGCAATACCTTTTGTCTCAGAACAAAATGAAAAAAAATTTAATACAAAAAACTTATGTTTCAGGTTCAGCAGTGTAACTGATGTGAGCTACCTCAATTTCTCACTACTACTATTTTGAGTTTTTGTTGTTTTTAGGCTTTATTTTTATTTTATGTATATGAGTGTTTTGCCTACAGGTATGTACATGTATGTACCATGTACATGCCTGGTTTCTGAGATCAGAAGGTGGCAGCAGATGCCTAGAACTGGAGTTACAGATGATTGTAAGCCACCAAGTAAATACTAGGAACCAAACCTAGATCCTCCAAAAGAGCAGCCAGTATTCTTAACTGCTGAGCCATCCCTCCCACTATGTAGTTATTTTGAGACAGGGTCTTGCTGTGTAGCACTGGCTGGCCCAGAACTAGCTATGTAGACCAGGCTGGCCTGGAACTTAACTGGTTAATGTGCTTGTTACCTGAACCTGTCTTGTCTCTTGGACCCACATGGTATAGGAGACAACTGATCACACAAGTTATGAACTGCCGCTACTTCTCAAGTGCTGGATTTAAGGGGTGTGCCACCATATCCAGCTACTACTGTTTTGATTGCTCCTCAAATCCACTTATTTTCATGGTTAAGAGTCTTAAGCAAACTCTGAAATGTTCATCTTCCTTTTCCAAGCCCTTGCTGCTCTTGTTTTTAACAGTTCTTAAAAAGTTAGAACAGGTTATGTGCCAGTTGTTGAGCTGTCTCTTTTTTTTTTTTTTTTAGATCTATCTATCTATCTATCTATCTATCTATCTATCTATCTATCTATCTATCTATCTATGTGTATGGGTGCTCTATCTGCATGTATACCAGCATGCCAATAGAGGGCATCAGATCACACTATAGGTGATTGTGAGCCACTGTGTGATTTGCTGGGAATAGAACTCAGGACCTCTAGAAGAGTAGACAGTGATCTTAACCACTGAGCCATCTCTCCAGCCCTCAAGCTGACATTTAAGCGCAAGTCCGGAAAGCATCACTGTTCTGTACTCTCTAAAATGCTCAAGCCAAGATATTCCTGTCTTGGGCTCTGCTTCTGTTTTCCTTGACCCCTCTCTAATCACTGCTTAAACCCAGTAATGTTTACCAGTCTCTTTAAAACACACTTCCTTCTAAATAGTACTTTAAACAAAGGCTAGGTAAGGTAGGTCATCATCAGCCTCTTAGCCAGCCAAATTTTCTTGGTATGGTACGTTCTATACATTGTAGTCTTTTTATTTTTCTTATTTGTGATGTTTTTTGTTTTTCCAAAGACTTCATTGACTACAGAAGTGTAGACCGGGAAGTCCAAAATGAGCATGCCAGCTGAAAAGAACCCTAATGGTTCTCATGCAAAGCCAGAGGTAGCCAAGGTTACCATATGTAGTAAAAGCCCTTCTGGCTTTTCTGTTTACTCTACAAAACTAAACTACAATGCATAACATTTCATGTTCCCTGTTCTTACACATAGCTTAGCTATCACCTCCTCAAATGAGGCAGCCCCTCCTGGAGAAGCAGATCACTGGCCCTGCCACTCATGCACCTGTGTTTGGCCTCATGCAAGGAGTTTCCTTCCACTTTCACTTGTTGATACAATGTTTACATCCTTATTAGTATTCTGGTGAAGCAGTAACTTGGTTAGAATCTGCAGCCTGAGGCAGGCAGTGATATAGTGCAGTCCCAGCACTGGGGAGGCAGAGGCAGGTGGATCTGAGTCTGAGGCCAGCCTGGTCTTCAGATGAGTTCCAGGACAGCCAGCGTTACACAGAGAGCCCCTGTCTTAGAGCCCCTGTCTTAGAAACAAAAACCAAACCAAACCAAAACCTGCAATCTGAATTATATTATAATTTAGCACAACTCTAAACCTGCAACCATGCTGTCGTTACTTAAAGAGCACAGCCAACTTTCATTTAGCTGTTCCTTCAGGTTTCCCCCCATACCATTCCTTTCTGAGTGTAATTATAGGGCCCATAGAGATAGTTTTGATTCTTTGTGGGATATTTTTGTATAGTGGACTTTGGTGTAGGGAGTAAACCAGATCTCTTACCTACCGTATACTTTCCTTGCTCATAACCTATAGTAAAGGCTTTATCTGGATAATAAAGCCACAACTTTAGCAGAAAAATATTTTCAGTTGCTCCACTTCATAACCGTAACTGTGTGAACAGAACAATTGTATCTAAAAATCGTATTAACTCAAACTTATCTACTAAATGTGGTGACGTAAGACACATGTCACCTCTCAAGCATAAAGATGGTATGATAGTAAAAAGATTTAATGTGCCACTCACTCTTGAAAAGTTTTACTTACTATATACAATACCTAAAACATCAAGTTGCCAAAAAAACTTTTATCTTCATGAGACAACATAAAGAATTTACTGAAGTGTGCTGTGATTTCAAGCAAGAAATTTTCATAATGGGAGAAGAACAAACTCTTGCTGCCTGAAGTGTCCTAACATGAGTTTATCTAAGTTTTCACTTTACATTCATTCCATAACCTTTAGGTAGTTTGAAGAGAACACACGAAGAAGAGGATGATTTTGGAAACATGCAAGTGGCAACTGCACAGAATGGTTGACCTGTGAGGACTGTTACGCGGATGTGAATTTCTATCTGGAAAGGAGAAAATCCTAGTGATAATGTAAAATGGTAAAAACACAAATAGTTTCTTTTCAATTATATGTTGCTTCCAGACATGTTTCTCTGCAGCTTGTTGAGCAACACTTTCAGATGATGGACTTCTGCAGCAGATGGCGCTAGGGTGATGGGTTCACTTAACAACAGCAACACCACACTTCATGGTTTATTATAAACCAAGAATTTTGGACTTGCAAAGAGGTATTATTGCAATAATGCACTTTTCGTACTTGAAATTTATTTGTATGATATAAAGTTATTACTTTAAACAAAATGCAAGTTAGGGGAATTTGTTTATAGATTTTGGATAATTTATAACAAACAAATTTCCTAATATTTCCTAAAAACTCATTTTGTGTTATATCTATTACATTTAAAGTAATTTTACAGTTCAATTTTATGATGGAGCCTCTTACAGAAACATTAACAAAATGTAGAACTCTTCCACATTTTTTAGTATAATTCAGTACTTTATTACCATTTTTTTAAACTTCTTGGTCCCATATCTTTAAATCATGACTTTAGCCAACTATCCTACTTTACTAATTTAATCCAGTTAATACTTCCTTTCGAATTGCCTTCCTTATTCTAAATGAGAAGAAAAGTTGTAATGATCAGAGCAAGAGGTCTTACTTTCTAGAATCAGATACTCAAAAATAAGGATAGTATTGTTATTTTTCCACGTTTTTTTTTTTTTTTATTTTTGCTGTTTGTTTAAGCCAAATGTAGACTTTGTCATTTCAGAGTTGCCTAGCCCTTCTAACCTTTGTCCAAAATGGTTCAAAGTAGGCTTTTAAGAAACCAAACCAATGTAGTGCTGTTTCTTCAATATGAAACCCCCAAAAGAAAAGTGCCTTGCATTAACAGTTAAATCCTCATGACCTCTAAATTAGTATATAGAGCAGTGAAAGGCTATTAACATTTTTATGTAATTTGTTTTCAAACCATAAATTAAACTGAATCTGTGCTTGAAGAAAGTAAATTATTTGGAATGAGGAATTTACTTCATTTACGTTGTCTTTGCTTCTGTGAGGTTCACCTGACAGTTTTGCTTTGAAGATGCATCCACTGGGGAAAGCAACTTGTGGGTGGCTTCAGTGTGTTGTAAATTACTGTTTTAACTCGTTCCTAAGTTAATTCAAATTTTCCCCACAATTTGCATTAGCAAAGTCACTTTATGGCTCTTTAGTTTCCCATGTTTTTATCTATATGTATAAAAGTTGTTCTATAAAAAAACATATGCTATTTTAAGTGTGATGTGCAGAAGAGAGAAGTGTTTTTAACTTTTTGTATATGAAAACTTTAGGGTAGCACAAACACAACTCCTTTCTATCTCACATTTCTTAGTCCTCCTTCGAGGTGCTTTACTGTTGGGTATTGTATCTGTACATTTCCAGGGTACCATGAGGCACTGTGCGAGGTAACGTATTACCCTTAGTTCCTTGCTTTGCTCTCCACCTTATGATACAACAGTACAGTAAAGGCTGTTTGTCCCACACAGTGGGACCACGAATATAGCCAGAATTACTGTTAACTAGAGCTATATCCTCCTCTGATTTCCCACCCTAAAAACAACATTGTGATCCAGTATTCTGTTGTGTCACAACTGTGGTGCTCTAGTGGAGTCAAGAGTGTATTAGGTATTCAAAACATCCTGGCTACACATCACCACTGGGCAGGTCAACAAAGATCTCTCTTGGAGTCAACTCACAATCTATGACTCATTGAGCAGAAATTGTGCTCAAAGCAGTTGCCATTAAAAATGATTTTTCAAGATGAGACATTTGAAGTAACTTATTAAAATAAGTTTCATAAAAATATGTATTTCTCTTTAGGAGCCTGGCCAAAAGTACAGAATAGGTTATTGACAGTCATTTGTAGCTGGTAACTTTCCCCTTTTCTAACCATCATTTTTATGTTCTCACGTAAAGTGCCTATCTAGCACAGCATACTGGAGACAGTCTCAGACACTAGGGACCGCCATCATGTTGAGCACAGCTGATGTGGACAGATGAGATTTGTTCTTTCCTAAGAAGCCTAAGAAGTTCTTTCCTAACAAGCTTCTTTTCCTCTGTATCTACTGTCCAAGTAGTTGTCTTAGGTTCCATTTTCAGTGATGTTTTCTAACAGTCAACTATGATAAACTTACCCAATCATGAGTTAATCTCTAGAGAACTTGAATAATATATGAATGTCTACCCAGTTTCAACATTAAATATGTGACTTGGGCTCAGAATTAGAACTATAAATTTTTATCAAAACATAGGGCACTTCATTATGCCCCATTTTGAAAGTTTGAGGCAGATACTGGAAGCTTTGAAGTGTGGGAGAGGGGTCTTCTACTTTAACTGATTCGTGTTAATTTCTTGTCTGTTAGATGTTGTGCCAACTCTGGTAGGAATGGTCAAGTGTGATAGCTTTGCTACCAACTTTCAACCACTTGTAGAGCAGAACATTCATTTGCAGGGCTGTGGGGTTGTGCTTAATCTGAGTCTAGAAGTAATGTGAGAAAATGCTAAGCATGTCCTTTGTAAGAAAACATAAGGTTCCTAATTGTTTAATTACCATGGTGATTCAAATTAATTAGAAGTATTTAAGTGCAATCTTGAATTATGAAGTTGAGATGTATATATTAGGATCTCAACTTGATGTAAAGTAAATGAGCAGTTACCTGGTGGATTTTTTTTTTTTTTTTTCAATGACTGGTTTAATCCACAATCCTAAAGCATAGCTTCATTTCAGTGTTTATGTTGTCCATTCAGCAACACTCCAATGAGGAAATAGGAAATAGCTGAGAGTTACTCAAGGATTTTATTTATTTATTTTTTATTAGGAAAATAAGTTTCTAGAGTCTTGAGTGCTGGATAATTCTTTGTCTTTCCCATTCATGGCAGCTAAAAAAAAATCACTCAAAATATTCAGGTTTACATGTTCAGCTCTCTCATAGGGAGCTGCCATACCTCACAGCTCAAAGTGTTTTCTCAGTCAGTAACATAGTGACATGTAACTGCAGTTTACTCTGCAGCAAAAGCGATTCAAGAAAAGTAACATACAGGGTCTAGTTACCTCTGTATAGGCAACTGCTGACGTCATTCTGCTTTTAGCATTTGTACTCGGATAAAATGCTTATGTATGTATAGGAATGTCACATTGCAAGATGCTGCTAGCCCGGGCACAAAATATTAAAATTATTTTGTGAAGACTGGTGGTTGTATTAAAACTGTTGTGCCATTGTACCTCAAATGTACTTCATTCTTACTCCTTATGCTTCAAAACTTTGTCTTCTGGGCAAAAGTAACCCAGCCTTACCCCAACAAAAGAAGGGTGAGTGAGTGAACATTTAATATTGAAACTGTTTCAGTTGGTGATACAATATAACTGTTTCTGTAAGAGGGATTTAAGAGAAAACCTTAACTCCGTGGGAGACTTTTTGCCCCAAATAGTTTAATAGTTTAATGCTTAGAAAGAAAGTGCTAAACGTTTTGGAGAGTTAACGTGGCTAAACCTAATGGAGCCCTCCCAGTCACAGGACTCTGGGGGTGAAACTAATCTGTTTCTATTTTGGAAAGTCAGCCCAGTGAATAGAGGGAAATCCAGCATCCAATTGAAGTAATTAAAAAAAAAAAAAAAATACTCGGTTGTTCTGAGCCACGTCTTAACCTGATAGACTCAAGCTGAGCCTGGTGGAGCACATCTGTAACACAGCTCTCAAACCATACATGGGGAGTTCAAGATTCTGTCTTCTACATACTGAGATCCAGGTCACCCTGTCTCAACAAATAAACAAGAAAAACACAAAACAAGATTCTAACATGAGAGACTGTTCATATAAACAAGTTTAATGTAATAACATGGAATGCAAAAGATTAGAACAATTATTAATAAAGTATCATTCCACTTTAAAAAATTAATAAATAAAACAGGACAGTGATCAGAATAATAGTACCATTATAATCACATTAAATAGAAAAGCTACCGAAGAAGTAACAAAGGCAGTACCACACATTTCTCATGACTCAAAGGCTTCAGATGTACATAAGGAAACCAGGGGAGAAGCTCCTTTGAGGGCTGCTCATTCACTAATGCAAAGAACCCTGGGTCTCCATATCTGCCTTGGATAATTCTAACGTCATCTGACAGATGAGATTGGTGGTACAGTATCTGCACATAACTATACAAAACACTTGTTAAAACAGTCGTTTAAGCTGTTGTACCTTGTCACATTTTTCATTTCTTTTGTTTCTTTAAAAAGACTGTCCAAGTTGTATGCTGTATTAAGATCAATGTGCAATTATGTGACTGGTTATAATAACAGAAGTGCCCAACTTCCTGTAATGTGAGAAATGGTACATCCTAAGTCTATTTAGATGTATGAGACAAATAATTTTGTGATAAACAGCCTTATTCAATATATATGCATACATTTAAAAATGAGCAGCACAGAGCAGACACAACTCTTTACTACCCATACTCTTGACTATCAAATGAAGACAAACTTTAGAAAAATACAATGCAAGAAAAGATTCAAGTTGAAAATATATTCCTTTGGTTAGAAATCACCCCTTTATGATCATTTGTACCCTACAGGCGTATCCCAGCAGCCACAGGCGTCCCCTGAAGTCACTGCACGAGCATACTACAGCAGTTTTCAGTCTGTTAGCTATGGAGCTCATTGGGTTGCAGCAACAAAAATGAGCTCTAGAACAGTAAAGCCTCGTAGCATTAATCTCTAGATGGTGGTTTTTACTTCAGGAATCTCCGACACATGTAATTTTCTTCAGATACTGTATAGCCAAACTTTTTATAGAAATCAACATTTTGTGGTAGACATTCAAGGGTGATCTTGTAACAGTTCAGTTTCTTGCTTAGCAAAGTAAGCGTTGATAATAACCTGAAATTTTGAAAAGGGAAGTGTGGGGAGACAGCATCAGGCAATGATATGGACTAACTAGTGTTACATAAAAATAAAACTAGTATTTATTCAGTATAAATTTAGATGATGGCCTTTCCAATAATATTCCTTTAAGCATTTTTATTTTGTTTCAAATACATGTTCATGGTCTCCAGCCTATGAATAAATAACTCAACCTACACTCTTTTTTATTATGGGAGGAAGAACACAGGACAAAGTGGGTAGTTCTCTCCTGTAGGTATGTTCTGGGGATCAAACTGAGGATTACGCTGTAAGTGCAGCCAACCTCTAAGCCTTTTTTTTTTTTAAATAAATTTTAAGAATTCATGTCTGAGAAGCTGGAGAGATGGCTCCAGTTAAAAGCACTACTGCTCTTCCAGAGGGTCAGGGTTCAATTCTTAACACCCACATGGCTACTAACTCTATATCTCCAGCTCCAGATGATCTACTACCCTCTCTGGCTTCCTGGCCTCCACAGGCACAGACATGCAAGTAGTACACATAAATACAAGCAGGCAAAACACCTATGTGCATATCATTTTTAAGAAATTCACGTGCAGGCTTGGAGAGCTGGCTTAGCAGATAAGAACAGTGGCTGCTCTTGAATTTGTTTCCTGACTTCATTCCCAGCACCAACATGGTGGCTCACAACCATTTATAACTACTGTCCTTGTTATCAGATGCCTTCTGGCTTCTGAGGGCACCAGGAACACAAGTAGTGCACAAGTATATACGCAAAATATCTACACATGTAAAAAAATTTTAAAAGGAATTTGTGTATGAACCTAGGTATAGTGAGTGACACACTTGTAATCTCATTGTTTGAGAGGCTAAGCCAAGAAGATGGCTTTTGCGTTCAAGCAAGACCAACTAAATGTTGGAACAAGCAGACTCAGAGAGTGAGACTTAGTTTTAAAAACACCAAGAGCCAAGAAAGTAGCAGTGATGAGTGCTTGTCAAGCATATATGAAGCTCTAGGTTCAATCCCCACAAACACAGCAACAACAAAACATTTAAAAACTACCATGGCAAGCTGATGTGACACAGACCTGTAACAGCACCCAAGAGGTAAAAGCAGAAGCATGTGAAATTGAAAGTTGTCTTTCACTATATAGCAGCATGAGACCTTCAAAAACCAAACCCCAAAATATCTTTGTTCCAAGGCTGGGGATATACCTGGTAATCTTCCTGCCTCAGCTCCCTGTGTGCCAATTTTATAATTATGTACCACCAGCACATCTGGCTTTATCATTCTTGGGGGAGGGGAGAAGCTTCATGTTCTAAAATTTTAGGCACAACTAGGTAAATGGACTAGAATAGTAAAAACTGGTATAGTTCACACAGTCAAGTATCCAAATACCTAGGATACTATCTGGTATACACCTGACGCTTATTTATGGAGTAGACTTGCTAAAAATCAAGATATTATATTCACGTGCAAATTCTACTTGTAAGCTGGCAGTAAACCTATGCAATATTAAACATTCACTTTCCTTTTAATCTGACAGAGGAGCTGGGTACTCACTGTGGCATGCTCAAGCCTGAAAATGTTAGGATTAAAAGTTAGAGGGTATTTCCATAAGGCTGAGGCAGGAGGATCTCTGTGAGTTTGAGGCCAGCCTCATCTACAGATCGAGTTCCAAGAAAAACCTTGTCTCGAAAAACCGAACAGGGTTGGGGGGCTGCTAGTAATGTAACTCAGTGGTAGAACACAACTTGCTTAGCATATTAGAGTCGGCTGCACCACACAAACACCCTTTGATTACATGTTACTCTCGGTAAATGAAATGATTTTGTCAAATTCTGAGGTAAAAGTAACACTATCTTATTTAATTTTTCATTAAATTCAGTCTAAGATATAGAGAATGAGTTCAGAATTAATGAAGGTCAGAAATAAATTGGGAAAAATCTTAAAAGTTTCTTGGCAAGAGGCCATACTGGGACAGAGAAAGTCCATCCAGTTTGCCAGGGTTACTTACAGTTTGCCGAGCTGCTTCCCTCTGCACTCATCACTAACAACGACGTCTTCTACTCTCCCTCTCTGCAAACAATTATGGTACATATGGGATGAGCCTTCAGCCAACAGGTGATAATACAGTTTACTTTTTCATAGAGGAAACAGGAAAATATCAGCTGTGCCTTAATCATTTTTTAAATTTTTATTTTTTATATTAATTATAGTTTATTCACTTTGTATCCCAGCTATAGCCCCTTCTTCATTCCTTCCCCATCCCACCCTCCTACCTCCCCTCCCTCATCTCCCATTCCCCTCTCCAAGTCCTCCTTCCCTTCCATCTGACCCTAGCCTATCAGGTCTCCTCAGGACTGGCTGCATTGTCCTCTGTGGCCTGGCAAGGCTGTTCCCCCCTCGGTGGGAGGGGGGGTGCTTAATCATTTTTAACTACAGCCTCAACCTCCCCCTCTGCTGTTTAAGGGAGAGCTCCAAATCCCAGTCACTATGCCATCCTGTCATAGTAGATCCAACTTGTTGCTTAGTAGCAATTTACATCCTACACACTTAAAATTTCAAGTGCAGAAAACAAAACAGATAACCTACAGAGTCATTTCTAAATGTTCCTTTTCCTTACATTCAGAAAGACGGTGAGTGAATATGTGAATGTGTGTCTGAGTGTGTGAAAGGCTTGGGCATCTTTGGAGGTCAGACTACGCTTGGATAGTTCTCTCCTTCCACCGCATGGGTCCCAGGGCCGCAACTTTGACAAGTACCTTCACCACTTGAGCCATCTGCTGGCTCATCTATTGTCATTGGATTGTAAAGAAATCTCAGAAAAGCGTCTTCTGCTAAGAAGTCCTAAGAAGCAATGAACAATTATGGGAAAACTACTTTCGCTAATGAAGCTTCCAAGTTGGTTTCATGGAAACATCTGTGCACTGTAGTCATAGGCATTAATGTAAGCACGTACCTTAGCACATGAATGGATAAATTTATGTTCTATTATCAGAGTTGCTGTGGCAACAATCTGTCCTAGGGTTACATCTTCCACAACTGTAACATAGTAATCCCCAGACTTCTTCATATGCTCAAAAGATTCTGTGGAAATGTCAAAAAAAAAAAAAGTGTTAGATGGTAGACATTTCTATTTTCTTGAATTCAAGAAAAGCAACGTGCTTATCTGGCTTCATCTTTGAATATTAAACCACTGTTTTGCCACAGTGTTTTAGTCTCCAGCAAGTGAAGCAGATTGAGCATAACACCTATATATTTGGATTTATTCATTCATTTATGTGGTACCACTATGTTGCTCTGGCTGTTTGGAACTCACTCTGTGGACCACACTGGTCTTGAACTCACAAGATCTGCCTCTTTCTGCTCCCAAGATCTGGGATTAAATGTGTGTGCCAGCTGGTTTCCACTTCTAAAAATATTATACTATTTAAAACATTTTAAAGGATTTGAAATATCAATAATCAGGGGTTGGGGGTTTAGCTCAGTGGTAGAGCGCTTGCACAAGGCCCTAGGTTCGGTCCTCAGCTCTGGGGGAAAAAACAAAACAAAACAAAAAAAAAAAAACAAGGTAACTTAAATATCAATAATCAGCACTGAGTAGTCCACACCTTTAAAGTCATCTGTTAGTATAGTGGGCTGTAACCCAGGGATGGAGTGCAGTTACCAGCTTCCAGTGCACACACACAGTTCTTTTAGAGGAACAACACAGTGTTACAGGTTAAGTATACATGTTGCCATTTCTGTGACTAAAATGTCAGTATCTTCCTAATTTACCTTTACTTAAAACTGATACTCAACAAAGCTGCAGGGTTGTGTTTTTGTTTTTTGCTTTTGAGACAGGGTTTCTCTGTGTAGCCCTGGCTGTCCTGGAACTCACTTTGTAGACCAGACTCCGCCTGCCTCTGCCTCCCAAGTGATGGGATTAACAGACATGGGCCACTACCACCTGCCAAAACTACAGGTGTTTATAAGAGCATGTAATATCCATAACTCATAGTCTTGGTTTCAAAATATTTTGACAAAACAGTTTTTCGTTTTTCCAATGTTTTGTTATTGCATATTTGTTCTTTTAGAAATAGGATCTCTGTTTGCTATGAAAGCACCTTACAAAGATGAGAGATAGGCCCCACTTGGGCAGTTTTTCCAAAGTCATAGAACAAAAGCAAACCTACATTCCCTCAAATAATATTTGGCACTATACATTGCTGGAAAAAGCTACACTTTTTCATATAACCTGATATGTATGCCAAGAGAAAAAAAGTTTAAAAGTCAAATTCTATAACTCTCAGGTATTGTTTATTTTCAAAGTCTCACTCTAAATAGGTCCAAAATAGGGAAAAAAATAATTCAATGAAGGAAAATAAAATAGAACTATAGATTATTGATCTTCATTCTCAGCCTGGCTGGAGAAGTTACCTACTACACGAAATGAATGAACAGAAGATGGGAACAGGCTGTGCTGGGACACTGGATAAAGCTACGAAGCTTCTGCTCTTTCCTGCCAATAATTAACTGTGCCCTTGGGTATGACTGGTTCTCACTGGAAACCCATTAACATGTCTCTAAAGGAGAAGGGGACTGTTAGGTAACTGCCAACCTTAATATTCAACATAAAGGCAATTAAATAAATGAAATTTATGTGCTCAACATAACACAGTAAAATATACTACAATAAAAGGAAAATAATTCTAGAGTAGTTGCCAAGTTATTGTACAGAGCATCTGGATCCTATAAATGAGGATGGCTAGTTCATAACTTTCAGCTATTTGAATGAGTGCATTCTTACAAGTTAGCCCATGGTACTTACTCATGAACTGCTCAGGGCTGACGACACCAGTCTCTGTTAATTGACCCAGTACCTTAAAAAAACCTAGTTTTAAAACATTTCAAGTCAGGAAAAAAGCAAAAGAAAGATTAAAATATTGGAAAGCAGCAAATACGTTCACTAGGTAGGTTAAAGGAAGTCACTTCTTCAAAACTCCATTATCATGTTTCATTATAATCTTTAAACAAGACTTACTGATTAAACATGCAGATTTCTAACAGATTGTGTTGTGTACATTCATTATACACAGTACTGTATGCATGAGGACATTTTCCACATCAATTACAGAATCAGCATATACATTGATAAGTACTATTTAGGTTTTATTTAAGGGATGCCACATTTTCCTAAATACGTGACTTAAAGTACAGGATTCTCACCTCCACTGAATATACAACTTGTAAGATAAAGTGTAACTAATCTAACACTTGTTGAAACAATTTTTTAAATTTCTAATTTTACTGATGTTAATGCCACCAGGCATGATAGCACTCGGAAGGCAGAGGCAGGTGGATGGATGTCTGTGAGTTTGAAGACAGCGAGGCTACATAGATTCTGTCTTAAAATAAATACATATATATATTTAAAAAACTAATGATAATGCTAAAAGTACATTTAGGACTTTGAGTCCTAATTTTTCTACATACAGTAATCTGACCAAAGTTACCTTTCTTCAGATACCGAGAAGAAAACAGTGAGGTAAAATAATGATTTTATTACTGAAGCTTCAGAAAATTATTTTGGATAATTTAGATATTAAAGAATTACATTGGACTAAATAAAACTCTTTCAATTTGTCCAAGGAATGTTATTTCTGCCTGTGAAGCTTCTGGGAGAAAACTCCAATGTGTTTATACATAACTTCATTTTTGTTTTAGAGACGTCCTTTTAGAAGGAGAACTGTTGAATTTAGTTATTTTAAATACATCATAGTGATATCTGGTCTTAGCCATGACATATGCCTATTACAGTTGAGTGCTGTAGTCACTTTAAGCACAGAAATCAAGTACTGTTTGTTAAGAAAGCAGCAAATTCTAGTTAGGATTAGCAAAATAAAGTTGGGCCCATACCTTTATTCAAGTCTGCAGTACAAAGAGGCCTCAAAACCAAGCCTTCTCCAGGATGCGTTGGAGAGATAGCTGGAGAAAATGTAGCTGTATTCTCACTCCAGTCCACTTCTCTGAGCAGACTTGGATCAAACATAGGAGTTTCATCAGGTTTCATGTTTCTAGTAAAGTCTAAAGTAAAATTTCAAGTGTTAAGAGGCCTTGTTTATTAATAAAAAGTATGGTTGATGAGAAAGTTAATTTCATCATATAAATGGATTCTATAAACATACAAGCTATTTTACCTTAGCAACCTGCAATCTATAACTGTAAACATGTTTACATGTAAAACTATTTTACTATGAAATGGAAAATGTGCTGAGTAGTGGAATTAAGAGTTTGTACAAAAACAAACTTTAAAACTCCATTTTCTAGCAGGTCACGAAGACAGTTTATCCTGTGGACTGGTACTAGCTGAACAATGACATCTCGTGGGTGTTCTACTCCTGTTTGTACAGTTATAATCTTGCCTTTTATTATTATTAGGCTCAGAAATCATTTGGTATTCCCTGTCACTAAAGACTCACTTGAACATGTGAATTTGACTTGTTTTATATGAACCACAAACAAGATATATGGGATTTAAATTATCCATTATTCTCTGTATTCACAGTGGTGTATGATTTTTAGCTGTAAGAGATACTGAGTATCTGCATTTTTGTTTTCATGGCAGGTTTTCTAAAAGTGTGTGTCAGCTGCTTCTAAACCATTTAAGAATAACCTGTGGGATTTTTTTTTTTCTGTTTTGTTTTTTTTCATGCTATGCACTAGATATGATGGTAGATGCTTGTAATCCCAGAACTTCAGGTACTGAATGAAAAAGTGTTTTGAGCCAGCCTGGGTTACACTGCGGAATATTGTCTCAAAACACACATATGACCAATGTGATATGAAACTCTGTCTCAAAAAAAACAACAAAAAAAAGCTTAAATCATAATAAATTTTAGCCAGTTATTAATAGTTTCCTGTACATTTCTTTAACTAGATAGTACTATTCTGTGAATGATCATAAAAATATGTAATATTAATTAATTTGGTGATTACTTTATATTTGTTAATTCTTTAACAAACAATAAAAGATGTATCGTAATCTTACAGACTAGGAAGTAGACAAATGAACTCACTCAAGGCTCCTGGGCCAACAAGGCAACAGACAGCATCGCAGGAAGAGGCCTGCTCAGTTTAATGCTTGCTAACCTGAAATTCTAGCAATTTTCTAACAGTAAGCACTGAATTTTCATTTTGCATGTTACCAAAAGTTACATCATTGATTCTACTAGACAGAATGATGTCACCTCTAACTATTAGGCTAATTTAGCTAAACCCCTGTATTCCAAAGTGGTACGAGAGTTAAAAAGTTAAAACAGGACTTGGAATCTAATTTTGGAAATGAGAATTTCAAACTAATCAAAAATTTATAAAGGCATTCTACTCTTAGAAATGACTATCAGTAGTTGTTTTAATGAACTGTTTACAGAGGTAGCTACATTTGGGTTCACCTGAACCCACTCTTTAAATAGTAGGTGCCCAACTAGGATGTTGGGAAAGGGAAAGCAAGATGTGACTGACACCAAATCCTCAAAGAATTTTAAAAGAACTCATGGGTTATCAACAGTTGATTTACAAAGGAAATCCTACAGGTCTCCCAGATAAAACTACATGTTCTCCAGCCTGCACAGCTGAGGCTCAGTACTATCATCTTTAAGTTTTACAGAGTAAACCCTGCAACTTCCAGGTAACTAACACGGAGATTCTTAGGAGCCTGCCCAGGGAAGGCATGAAAGCTGTGTCCCTTCCCACACAGCCCCCACTGTGCAGTTCTCCCCCTGCAACCCCTTGTCTATTCTAAGCTAGTCTACCACCCATGCTGAAAAGGCCGTTTTAGATAAGCCATCCTCCTGGCGAAGGTCAGAAGCTTAAGGGTCAAGTGGAAAAAGGTAACCCGTGGTTGGCACAGTGACTTCTAGACTCAGTCTGCTGGCCAGCCACCCATGTCCAAAGACAGTGGGTGAGAAAAGTACATTATCTACAAGGAAGCCACATAAATAATGGGAAGAAAGAACTAAACAAATGACTGGATCGTCACTTTCTAGGAACAGGGTTTCATCATGTGTCTTAGTTGGCCTCTCCTTGGTGTATGTGTACGTTTGTGTAGGCACGTTGGCACGCATGTGAGGTACATGTGCACACGTGTGCCTTTGAGTGTGAAGGCCCAAGGTTGACATCAGGTTGATCAACCAAGGTTGATCACTCTCCACTTTATGAACTAAACACAGTTCTTGCCCCAAACCCTGAACTCCTTTTTAGGTTTGTTATGAATAGCCAGTTTACTCAAAGGACTTCTTTGTCTCCTGATGATGCAAACCTACCCGGCTTCTTTACATGATTCTGGGAACCAGAATTCTGGTCCTTAGTCTTGCACTGCCACCTCCCAAGCCTACCTTCAACTCTTGATTCTCCTGTTTCCGTGCTGCCTTCAGGAGTTTCCCCCATACAATACTCCTTAAGCAACTTTACATCAGTTTCTAGCATTCATTACTTAACAAATGAGGACAGGCATTGGTCTGGCTAAACACAAAGGATCTAGTTAGAATCAAACTCCTTTTTAAATAATAATTACAAAATCCTAAGGGAACAAGCCTACTTCCCCAGTCATAAAGATATAATTTATGATGCTGGACAGAGGTCATGCTTCATTATACGCTAATAAAAATACAGATGAGGTGGCAAACACCTGTGACCCAGTGCTGGGGAGGCCTAGGAATGAACACGGGGAGTTCAAGGCCAGCAGCTACCCAGTCACACCTGTCTCAAAAACAGCACACACTTAAAAACCAATTATGGAAATTGGAATAAACATGGAAACTTTTAAAGGGTTTAAGGTATCCCCAGCCCCTGTCAAGTTCAAGGGTAGCCCCAGCTACACAGACTGTCTTATCAAAACAAAAACTTTTCATTCTGTAGCACTTAAAGGTGGTCACCAGCTAACTTCCTTAAAGTTTGGTTATATGACTAGAATATATAAAATGTAAACTCTAACTCAAAGTACCTTTCCCAGTTTTAACTGCTAAAGGCATGTTTATTGCCTAGGTCCTAGTCCAGTAAACCTCTAGTCAATGAATAATGAATGACATAAGGTATCATCTACCAATCACAGTTCAGAAAGTCACGAAGGAAAAAAAGACTGCCACGTCACGATTGAGAACACAAAAGCCATACACCAAACTTCTAGTTTGGTTTTCCAGCCTCTGAATGAGATAGGATAGAGACTGGGAGCAGCTGCTTCTAGAAAAACAAAGGATCAACAAGTAGGGAAAACTGAAGATTTACAAATTTCTAAGCATGATCTACAGCCAAATCAAAATTGCTGTAATAGGTGACAGGAAGACAGCTAGGTAGGTTCAGCAGGTCGCTCCGTAGTATCTCGAGTGCATGAAGTATTTCCCGAGAGTGTACTTGATCTACACCAACTGATTAGCCTCAGTCTAGTTGGATAGTTGGAACACAGTATTCCCAAGACTAGCCTAAAAGTAATGAATGCATCATTAAATGAGTGGCCCGTTATGAGAATCCTCTCGTTCTCCCATTGCCCTACAGCAAAAATAAATAAAAATAGTCAACAGATGACAGTGTTTGCATCATGGTACCTGCCAACCATGCGAATCATGCCTTTAAAAGATACAAATTTCCTGAGACCCACTCTTGGATTAATTCAGGGGTGATTTTTCTCAACAAAACGAATCCACATTTATTTTTATATGAACAAATTTCATGTTTGCCTTACATAAAGACAAAAATCACACAGTCTGTGTTGCTGGGGTTCAAGCCCCAGGTCCCCCCACCCCAGGTTTTACACAGTCTGCTCAGGTGGGGCCCTTCAGAGCCGGAGCGGAGCGTGTCTTCAGCGGCTCTGACCGCTGGACCGGTAAAAGGTTCCCGCCCTTTCATAGCGGCGGGGCACACAGGGCGAGGACCGAGTCCCACGCCGCGGACACTCGGGTCTTAGGCCCTCCAAGACCCTGAATTGCGGACCGCGGGGCACCATGCTTCGCCGCCCAGTCCTGGAGAGCGGCGTCCGCCTCCGCGATCCGCAGCCTCAAGGCAGTCCCAAGCCTGCCCGCCCTCGCGTCCCAGCCCCAGGCCGCCTCACCGCACCGGAGCAGTCCACGCTCCCCTCCTGGCGCGTCAGTCTCCCAGCCGGTCACAGCGCCGCATCCGGATCCGGCTGCAGCGCCAGCCCCACCCCCTCCTGCACCCTCCCCGCGCCGCAGCCGGAACCGCCTAGCCAAACGTGGCCGGACCAACGCCTCCGCCCCGCCCCGCCCTCACGCACCGCAGCGCACGCGGAGGCCCAGCCACGCACACCACTCCCGGGCTCCGGGGGCGGGGCGGCGCTCCGGGGAAGGGGCGGGGCGGGGACCCAGGGGAGGGG